TGGATGATATTTTTGTTGTTGTTGTTATTCGTTTGTGTATTTTGTTACAAGCTTGAAGTGAAAATATAACAGTAGCGAACGTAAATAGTCCTATTAATTATACAGCAGGAGGCTACATGTACATTACAAGAATTTGATAAGGAAAGATAACTCTTGCCTTATTAATCAAGATTCAACCGACATAAGTCTTGCCAAAAAGTGTGGAACTTATGTCTTATTTAGCTTCATTATTTGAATACAAAATAAGCAAAATGTAAAATCTCTAAACAACGATAGTTCTTTTCCAATGATAATCGATTGTTAGCAAATGCTCTGTCCTTTTCATTTCTACATGCTGCGAAAGAATTTCTATTTGTCTTGATGCTATTTGCAGGCGGTTGCTTTTTAATTTCATTTTCATAATTAATGCGGTGCGAAGCACAGCATTTATGTAGTCTGACGCGAGTTTTTAAGGTGCGAAGCACTTTATAGTACAGCGTCGCGAGTTTTCTTTATTAATGCGGTGCGAAGCACAGCATTTATGTAGTCCTTCGCGAGTTTTCTTTTTTTTAATGCGGTGCGAAGCACAGTATTTATGTAGTCCGTCGCGAGATTTTTTTTCTTTTACTTTCTCGACGTACGCACATCAACTCGTCATTTTGTGTCGCGATGATCTCGAGAAGCGAGAGTCACAAAAATACACTTGAAACGCAAGGTGGAAGTATCGAGATCGAACTGCTCAAATATTTTTTCCCTTATTTAAACGAACATTCCGTTCACTCAAAAATATCGTTCCAAAAAGACGATTTTGACTGGACTTATAGCTTCCTTCATTTCGAGATAATTAAAATGAAAAGTTTAACAAAAGTTAGGCGCCAATCTTTTTCATATTTATCAAACAGCTGTGACTACAGCTGATTATAGATAATGAATCATACAGACAATTAAATGATCAATCGAAATCGTCAAGCAAAGTAGTGTTCATAGGCTTTCATAGAGTTCTCGTGGTGATGAATTTTATTATGGTGCTTTTTGAAGTTTCTCACGGCTTATATGAGCTTGGCACGTGTAGAAAGTAATTTTTCGAATTCAAATGATGCAGAGAAATGTCTATATTCCGTAGCCTGTACACAATTCAACTGAAAATAATGATTGCTGTTAACTCGACAATCGCATTTTCGTTTTCTACGAAACATCGTTTTTTCGAAGATTCGAGAGATTCGTGCTTCGCGCCGCATTTCGTATTCGAGTCGAAACTCGAATACCATCTAGTTTTCTTTTTGAATATAGCACAGCTGTGATACAGCTGATTATAGACAATGAATCATTAACATAATTAATCGATCAATAAACATAGTTTCTACAAGTCTGTCGATACGTTTTATTAGAGTTTCTCTAGTGATCAATTTCATGATGAATGCCTTTCATGATCGATCTCGGTTAACTCAGCTATTCGATAAAAATCTTTTCTTTTTATCGATTATCGCTAACTCAGAAAAATCTTGAATTATCTTTGAATCTAGTGGTAGAATGTGAGAACGAATTCCGATGTTATTTATACCGATTATTGAAGTTCGGTTCGAAATTCGTTTTTCAAATTCTCGTGTGCTTCGCACCGCATTTCGTATTCGAGTCGAAACTCGAATACCATCTAGTTTTTATTTTCTCGGATCGACAGCGAATTATTGATTTTATTGAACTTGAATGTTAAAAATAATTATTAATCATATGTGGGTTTTTTTTCTAGTCAAGAGTGGTTATAGATGTATTTCTTTTTTCCTTTTTCTTTCGTTCTTTTTTTTTATTATTTTCTGTGATATGTTACCTGAATTTCTTTTGACTCATGTAAAATAAATATATTTTGTGAAGAATAAAAGAAACAGAATGAGCGTACGATTGGGTATATGAGAACAAGGTTTTTTGTCCTTTTTTTTATTAGACTTAGAAGTTGTTGTATCGATATTTTAGATTTAAGTAAAACGCAAGAAGAAAAAGTGATTGAACATATAACAAAATGGCTGAAAAATTATCAAGAAAGTAGCCATGCCAAAGGTTTTACTGTTGGTGTATCAGGTGGAATTGATTCCGCTGTTGTATCAACCTTAAGTTCAATGAGAACGAAAAATGATCATGAAAAAGATAATTATTATTTGTTGAAGAGAAGGAAAAGTTCCTGTTTGAGGTTATATTCAAAGTCGATAGATAATTCAATTTTGTTCTGCTCGACAAGAAAAGCATTCTTAAGTCAGTTCAAAGAAAAATTCTTTTGTTGAAAAATGAAAGAAAAACAAATGAAAAGGATTAATCAATCTGATCAAATCATCAATGACCACACTTTTTTTACTCATTTCCTACAATAAATGACTTATCTTCACTTTCATAATTAGTTTACAAACATCTCTTCTCAATTATTTTCTTTCTCATATTTACAAATAAATAGGAAAAATCTTCTTATTAGATGACATTATTTGATGATCATCTACAGGAATGAAACTTGAGCATTGAAAAATAAAAAGCATTTAAAATGAATATTCTAATCATTTGATCTTGAAGAAAAGAAGAAAATCTTTTCGGAAAGAAAGCCCTCTTCTTCAAATGAGAATTCTCTATTCTTTTCCATATTAAACATTGAATAAGATTTCTTAGACTTATTTCTGTAAGAGAAAAAATTCTTAAAGAAGATCATCAAAATAAGGTTAGTTCAATAACAAAATGTTTTCTTCTCAACCGACTTTTCAATGAGACAATCAAGTATCTTTATTTTAATGACAAAGTAGTAAGAGATGAAGATGATGAATGAATAAGCATGAATACAAAAAGAACTAGAAAGATATGAAGATGAATAGACAAGCATCAATACCAAAAAGAGAAAAGAACATAAAAACAGTGGATGCTAAAGTATAATCGTGATAGAGACACAAGCTATAGTGGAAGCCTTAACGGTTGATGAAGCATTGTATGATGATGATTTATGCTAGAAATGAGAAAAAAGTTTATTATAACAAATAAAAGTATAACTTACGCCGATTAAGCTCAGTCAAAATAGCCTGGCGAATCTCGTTCAGCTACAATGCGATGAGGAAAAGAAACGATCTTTCAGAGTCAAAAACGAAAAGAAATATAGTACTTACACGGTAAATGGCATTCGCCAATTCATTATTGGTGGCGAATGTGCCACCTCCTGCTCCTCCACCCGTCCCTGTTACTTGTGTTATTGCCAATGGTACATTCTAGAAAGAAAATAACCATACAAACAATTACTTCAAAGCCAAAGAAAAGATATTGAAATTGAAAACTCACAAAGTTTGTCAATGACAAGAAGGTGACTAATGTACGTATTGACTTGTCACAATTTCCAACAGTTGCATTGACGCCAGATGGATTTACCGCATTAACAACACCTTCGATTACTGAAATAACTTTGGTTCGATCTGCCTGATTCTGTGGAAAAAAATCATAATTGCATTTTTATGAAGATTATTTTGCAAAAAAGAAGAGCACCTCTTCCTCTTCTAAAACGGCCATGTATTAAGAAGGACAATATGAGCTTCTACACTACTAAAAATGATCTATTTTTTCTCACATAGCGAGAGTAGAACGGGCAGAGAAGAGAGAAAAGAGAAAAACATACCATGGCTATCACAGACAATGATGACATTGTAGGTCAGATGAATAATTGAACGAATCAGAGCAAATAACGGGCAAAGTTCACGGTATATAGATGAACGATTAATAGATATGTGTTCGACCTTCGACTATTCTTGAATCTCGACGAATAAAAAAAACGATCCAGTGGCGGATCCAGGGGGGTGGCGGGGATGGCGACCGCCACCCCCTTCGAACTTAACTTCACGTTGTTTCCTAGTGATTTTTCATGGATATCTTACATTGTTGTCTAAACCGCCACCCCTTCCGCCTATTGGACTTTATTTTTCTCTTACCCGCCACTCCCTTCAAAAATTCCTGGATCCGCCACTGAAACGATCCTATATATATCGTACACATAAGCGAGAGAGTGATATCGTCCATTGTTAACAGTGATATCAGTATGATTTCAGTGCCTGGTTGGCAAGATGACGAGTGAAAACAGTACCTAGATCGAACAAAGACGAACGATATTATATCATTCACTAGCCGTGACAACCAGTAAGAGAAAAATAGTGATAACATGCTGTAAAATGAGAGAGAAAGGAAGAAGAAGAAATCAAATGTATATCAAAAAATGCATTCATGTTAATCGATATTAGATCAAGGGTATTGCTGGTTACATTCACGAATCGGTCACTCAGATTCAACTTGTACACATCCTACTTTCTGAAAGCGCTCTGGAATCAGCACTAGAAATTTCTGTATTCGAAAACATTGATAGATTCTTGTCATCAGCGTACATCATCTAAATAGAATTCTTTTATTCGATGATCAATTATGACGTTGTTTGCTGGATAAGACTACGAATGAAGGAAGATTTCTTATCTTCGTTGATTGATTGGAAAGAAAATTTGTTAGATCAGATAAGAATTCTTCATAAGATAATAGAGCAGTGATCTTACATGAAATTTCTCGTTACAATGAACAAGTAGTCATGATCAGTAATTCGATGATAAACAATGAGCAATAGAATTAAGTTTAATTCGAAATATTTTTTTTCCTCTCCTGTGATTTATTTCTTTGCTGAAAATATGAATGAATACAATCGAAGGTAAATTTATGTACAAGTCCATATGCATTTGAGTAGACAGAAAAAAAAAGAGAAAACATTTAACATCGATTAATGACGAGAATAGACAAACTGTTAAAGATAATCTCTTGATTAAAGGAAAAGGAACACAAACGAAAGAAATCACTGGAAAAATAAACGAAAACAACTAGAATATATCTACACGGTGACTATTTGTATCGAGGAGAACTGTTCTATTGCATTTATTCAAGATCTTCTATTGATCATTCAGTGATCTAAAAATAAACAAATAAAGATCTTGCAAATCGACAATTAAAACTGAGAAAAAACCTTTAATTTATTGTTATTCTTGTTCTTCAGGATGATAATCTAATTGAACAAAATCATCATGAAGTTCATTTGAAGGAATTATTTCCATTTCATCATCAATAATTGGATCTTTTTCTTCGCTAGATATTGCTTGTGTTCCATTGGATTGATACGATTTATCTTTGCCCGTTTGATTACCTTGATTAACCATGAATTCCGATGGAACTTTAATTCGCTGCGGTTGTTGTTGATAATGATTTGGATTTGATCGAATCGTTGAACAAAGCTTTCGAACAACATCAGTCTAAATAAAAATTATCAATAATAATTTGATTTGGTAATATGTGAATGATAAAACCTGATCAGGTGTTCGTATTTTGGCTAAAACATGATGAGAATGAATTAATTGACAATCAGCACATGACTCACATAAATCATAATCAACACATTCTAAACATTTATAACGGATACCAATAATCGGTGAACGATTACAACCTAAATGTCCCCATTTTTATTCAATCATGAAAAAAAGAAGTGTACCAATCATCACAAATAACTCCCAGGTATTTGGACGGCATTGGTTTGGTTCGATTGAAATTCTCTTTAATAAATTTAACAAAAACACGTAAAAGTTGTTGAGGTGATGCTTGATCACGTGCAGCTTCATTTACTCCATCAGATGATCGAGCCGAAACAAGTCCACGAATATCATCTAAAGAGAATCTTCTTCAAATGAGAATTCTATTTCTCTCTTTTTACCTTCATATTGAAATTCTAATTGAATTCCACTTGATGAAAAATTTAACTCCGAAAAGAATTGAGAATGTTTTCACGTAAGATTGATAAAATATCTGTTGATGGTATTAATGTTGGTATATTGACATGACGATATTCGCTACTTCCATCTAATTTAACAATGCATAATTTTATATCAACCATTTTAAATCTTTTCTTTTTTTATTTATCTACAAAAAACAAATAAACTATTCTTTTAATCAAACTTATTAATCATCAATAAAAAAAAAAGATGTCATTGAGATCAGTTTAAATGTACTCAAACGATATCACAAATCTCAAATGAAAACACTTCCAATCTTATTCGTATCTCGACGTTTCATCATCGAAAATGACGGATAAATAAATTGATGATCGAATGTCTTTTCAGTTTTTCGTTTTCTCGAATGTTCAGACAAAAAGTTTTATCTACGTCATTTCTTTTTCATATGAATTCATCAACGATGTTGAACAAGAAGAAACATTCGATCGTGATCATCGTATTTCAATAGAATATGTACTGATGGTTATTTATTAACTTCGTAGAGAAAAACAAAATACGAAGCTAGGAATGAGGATGAAGGCGGTGACGGTGACTTTCGTTTTCTAAACAATCATCTGAGATATTCACATGACATTGCCGTTTACTATCTGTTCTTTCTTTTCTTATCGTATTATGTGATTGTTTCTTTCTATCATCATTTACCATCAGTAGAAAAGAATAAAACTGAGTTGAGCAACACGTGGATAATCATATTGAGATAAGAAAAATTCGTCCGTCTAGTTCCAAGGAGAAAGAAACGAACTCGAAAGAAAGATTTAATTTAATACGATGATAAAATAAAGTAATACACTATAAAAGGCCTCACGAGTCTTATTATGGAAAATAATCGATATCAGAACTGAGCAGTTCAATTCAAAACGATTAATTCGATCCATATCATGAACTGAATGACTTGAAATATGAATATTGTATGACATCAACGAATTTTTAGTTGAGTTAAGCTGAATCAACAAAACATTTTAGAACTATGGGATGAGTTGAACTGAATTGAATTTGTCAACCTTTTAGTCTGCATTGCACGGCTTTGGGATTCTGATTATGCTCGATCGTGTCAATCGATTTTTGTTCTTCATATCAACCGTCAATTCTCACAAAATTGCATTAATAAGATGAAGTATTATATTTTACTGCTTTTATGATGATGAGGATGATGTCTCATTGATGAAAATCACTAAATAAATGAAACAGTATTTCAATATTATTCACTTCTTTAAATCATCCTATGACAGGAAAATTAGCCTCAACACTAAACCTTTTTTATTTTTTAAACTTTTTCCTACTAGAATCAATTAAATCTTCGATTCTCTTAAAAGATGTATAGCGTTCGTTGAATCGAGCTTTTATCAGCCATGAAATTCTATTTTGAATATTATTCGAAAGCAGAGATTCAGTGCTTGAATAAATTAGTTTAATTGATATTACAACAGAATATATTAATGACGAAAAAATTCATGCCAAACTGGTTCAAAATATTTATGATAAAATCATAAATTTATTAAAAATTTTTGGATCGAAGTATAAAGATGTTTTTTATTGTGAAAAAAATCTTGATGATGATAAAAAAAATTGTTTCAATAAACAAGAACATTCAAAACAATATATTTTTTTTTATCGATATAAAGAGGATGTTAATCATATTGCATCAACGATGGATGTTGTCAGATTGTATGTCAAATATAGAAACTCCTATTTCCATTAAAAACACAATGCTATCATAGAAAATATCATAATTAAATCTTTTCTTTTCCTTTTTCGATTACTTGATGAACAATTTAACATGAACGAATAAGATGTTCTGATCCAATTGTCCAACCTAATTTAAAACCTGTTGATGAAAATGTTTTTCCCGTACTTCCATTTGTTAATGTTTTCTGCCATATATTCGGTAATGTTGCTATACGAATATGTTTTTTATTTTTATCAGATGTTATCCATTCGTAAACTTCATCGAAAATACAAATAACATTATATTTTTTACATATACTTGCAATATCTTCAAGTTATTCAAATGTAAAAACCTGAAAATATTTCATTTATAAATATTTTTTTTCAAATGAAGTAGACACATACTTTTCCAAGAGGACTATTTGATGTATTCAGTGTAATAAGACGTGTACGAGAATTAAACATTGATTCGAATTCATGTCATCTAATATCCAATCAGCACTGGAAGAAATACCTTGATTAATTGATTCGGATTTCTATAGAAAAGTTAAGATGTTAAATGAAAAGAATTCGAAATGAAAATACGGAGTCGAAGTGGAATACATCGAATAATGCCACCAGCCGAACGAATCATTGGTTCATAACAACCAAAAACTGGTTTGATTAAAATAACCTAGAGAGATTTGAAAGTTTTAGAAAGAATTCTTGAAGATAATGAATTAATATTTATTTCATTGCCGGAATTAATAAAAACCATGAATAGCATTGAAAATTGATGGATAAGCACCACTAGTAATAAAAATTTCTTTGAATAGATAAACTTTTCGATTAAAATATAATGAATAAATATTTGATATAGCTTGAACTAATCATGGATAACCCTATTTTATTAATATTAATTGAACAAAAATCTCGATTCAAATCAAATTTACAAATCTTCGACTATATTGATGTAAAACTGTATTACGCTAATTAATTGTTGTTTTAATAAATATCCAGAAAATATTCTGGTGAATTATAATCTATAAAACCTTGACCAAGATTAATAGTATTGTGTCACAGCTATAATGCGCCAAATTCAAGTCTAAAAGAAAATATTTCATATAGATAATGAAATGTGAAATGATTTACCAAAATTTTTTTCTTTAAACCAATATAACGTTTTGATAATAAATTTCAGATGTTTTTGTTTGTACTGGTTCTTGATTTGGGGAAGCCATTATTGTCGATAGAAGACGCTTGGTGCAACTGCGATTTAAATACACTCTTGTCAGTGATAGATCTAGGATTTTTATGAATCAGTGCGATTTTGGTCAGATAAAGTATTATCGAAGGTGTTAGTAGTATGAATGTGAGTCCGAAAAATTTCTATAAATCGGATTCGAACGGTTCGCCTTCGGCTTCGGGAACTATCCAACCAGTTCAGACGATGTCGAGGAGTATTTAGGTAATTGTCGGAGCATTTCTTATGGTATATGGAAAATCATGAAAGCGTCGTAACGTTCGATCGAGTTCGAGTATTTGTGAACATCGTTGACATTTTTCTAGGAAGCATCAGGTCATTCACTTTTTGGATTATTTTTTCATTGTGTGTAGACCATTCATAGCTAACCTTGAAATTCTCTCTTTTGGCTTACTATTCTCTTTTTTACATGACATTACCTAAAAATAACTGAACTCGAGTTCGAGGTCAAACCGTCGGGTTCGATGCATGCCTAATTCTATTACTGAATAGGAATTTCTTTAAAGAAATATTACGACTCTCGAATCTGATATTGACCATTGACTGTACGTTTCTCTTGATTATAGATTTTGACAAAATCGAACAGTGATCGCAAGCGATAAAATTTATTTTGGATTTCGCGTGTTTATCATTTAAAATATTAACGTTTTATGGGGAAAAAGTTCTCATATCTCGTAATGAATAAATCCTGTAGTTAGATTCTAAGCGATCACGATTATCAACTCGTTTTGCTACTGTATCACAACGGTTTCAACAAGGAAGACGAACATTTATTTAAATTGTTTCTGGTAGATATGAGAAAGCAAGCATTTTTTTCCTTCAATTTCGATTGCAGATAATCAGCATATAACAATACAGACACAAAGCACTCAAAGAAATGAGAATATAGAAGTTTTCTTCAAGCCTGGTCCTTTATCTCTATATGTACTTATCAATAGCACTCTTAAAACACACTAGAAGTTTTAGTAAAAGTGCTTTTTGTTTCAGTCATTTATTTGAAATGGAGTAACCAATTCGAATCAAATCCTTATATGTCATTCCAGAGCTTCGAATTACTTTTCTAGAAAAGAAACTTTTACTATGTTCAATCTAAAAACCTATCTATAATTTTCAATACTTCCGTTAAACTAAGTAAAACTCTTTTTTTTTGAATGTAGTGGTGTACTATTTGATAATAATTCTGTTTCAAAATCACATCAAATTCCAGGTAATTTCGATTGTAATGCTTTATAAAGACATTCTTTTGAAATAACATTTGAATAATCTTTATCCATTGTTAATAATATTCCATCTAATATACCAACAGCCATTTGTAAACCTTTCATAACATGTTCAGGATGTGTACTTATATAAAGTAATAATTTACTAAATATAGGTGGACCACCAAAACGAAATACACCAGCTAAATCAGCTCCAGCTTCTTGTTGAATAAATTCATTTACTTCATAAAGACGAGATATAGAATAATTACCATTATTATTTTCAAGACGTACATGTCTCCATACATGTGAATAAATCCCTGGAAATGCATCAAAAATAACTTTTTTTTTCGACATTTTAACAGCTGTTCGAATATGTTGAACAACTCAACTAGCATTTAATGAACGTCCTTCAACAATCCATGGTAATAAATCAGATAAAATACGTTTTAAATATGTATTACATTAACTTTCATTTTGTTGTATCATACTAAATAATAAATGTAAATGACGTAAACAAATATCTGATGATTGTTCACAATTTAATAATAATGATTGTGATATAAGACGATATAAACAATCTGTATGTTGTTATACAATTGTTGTTAAATAAATTTTTTCATAAATATTTAATTTATTTCGATTTTGTAAGTATTCATCTTTAGCTATATTCATTAATTCAATTCGTCATGTATGTTGAAATGTTGTTGCTAAACTATTTATTAATATAAATATAAAACAAATACAAATATATCTTCATTAGATGTACGTCGAGCTATCAAACCACATAAATGTATTAAACGACTATAATCATGATCATGATTATTTGTTGTTTGTCGAATAGGACCATTATTTAATTGTGTTAATGTATAAAATAAAAATTGATCAAGATTATCATTAAGAGCATTATCCCATTGATGTTTATTATATATTCGAATTGTTTCAAATAAATATGGCATAATAGAAATTAAACATAAACGTTCTTGATTGTTTTCATTAAGATATAAATAAAATAAATATTTTAAGTGAATAGAATTTTCATCTTGATCATTTAAAGGACGAATAAATGATCGATGATTATCAAATGTTGGGAAAAAAATTTATTAAATAAATATAATAACATGAATTAGATGTTTGATTAAATAAATGAAATATAGGAAGAATATTTGATAAAGAAAATAATGTTCAATCAGAATTTATCGATGTAGATCGAATACGAAGTTTATTTTGATTAGAAAATGGTGAACATGAAGTACAAATAAGTTCGAATCAATTGAGAATTTTTTGATCGAAATGATCGTGAATATAAAGAAAATACATGTAACAACTTAATCTTCTAGTGATCAACGCTGATCAGTAGGCCTCAATCACTTGGGGACCTTTCTCTCGTTAGATCTCTTGATCAGGCTTGCCGATTG